AAGAAGATTGCTTGAGATTTAGTAGTAGTTAGAATTTGGGGACGCGTCTTTAAGGGCGAGTTTAGTGGGGAGGGCGTTGTCACAGAAATATAAAAGCAGATTGACGAGACGAGATTGCGGGATGAAAATTTTTCACGCACAAAATATTCCAGGGAAATTTTACATGGGGACGGGTTTCCTACGGAAATAAGGGGCACTTTGCAGTTTCACAATATAGTGATTCTTTAGGATATAGCTTTTGTGAACGTGAGGGGTGTTTGATGTGGGAGGTATTCCTGAAAATCCAAATATCCTGAGGGTCATTTGAGAAGAATCCTCAAAGCGCCAATATATTTCTGGGCGAGTATTATTAAAGGCAACTATTTCAAAGTAAAACTTCAAAGAGCGAGTTTTCCAAACTGCAAATCCTTCGGGTTCAGGTAAAAATATTTCGGAGCGAATCATCTAGAGGCGGATATTCCGGGGAAGAACTTAAAGGCGACCATATTCCTTTTTAAATTGACATGGAGGCAAGTGTTTTTAAGAAGCGAATATTTGTTGACTAAATTTCAAGGACCAAATTATCCGAATGCAAATATGTACTCAGAGGGCAAATATTGGGGAGGCTTTGAGAGACAATTTACCTGGTATTAAAACTGACACTTGTGCAGTTATATTTACAGGTAGCGGGGAGATGTTTGAAGGTCGGTCCCCTGGACCCTGGCTTACCTGAGGATGGGATTTCCTGTAAGAAGATATGCCTGCGGAGTAGAATTGTTCCAACCTAGTCAAGAATTCTAAAAGTGAATCTTCCGGAGATAAATCTCCTGGTGGAAAATATTTCGGAGTGAATCTTCTGGTGAAGAATTTTCCCGGTAAATTGTACACAGGGTTGAACTTTTTCACAGAAATAGAAGGAAAAAAATTGACACATTGCGAGCTTTCTTGGGATTTGGTTTTTGTAACGTGCGCTTTGTTTGACGCGAGAAGATAATCGTGCGGAGTAAAATTTTTTAGGGGTGAGTATCTTGATTTTTCTCGAAAACGATAGTAGGAGAGCCCACAATGCTAAATAGGGATTTATTCGAGCGTTGCTTAGTATTAAAAAAATGTATATTGTACATCCTTCCATCGGTGGGGGCGCGTCTACACTTTTTTAATGTACAACAAAAGTGGTTACATGAAAATACACGCGTCAGATATTGATACTGTATATGCCGCACGTGTCTCGGGCATTGGAGGTATATTAATCTACCGGTTTGCAAGGGTAGATAGAAAAAGGGATTTATTTGAGCACATCAGATACTTAAAAGGTATGTTAACTGAACCCCAAAGAAGCTCCCATTCAAAAGACTGACAATTGAGCATGACGCAAGCTCGGGGGCAGCTTTTTGAAAATGTAAAAATCGCCATTTTGAAAAACTCGAGCAGCCGAGCGCATCAGATTATACATGCGATCTACCTTAATGTCCTAGTCGTGCTGATCCATAATCTGACGAGAATTTAGAGAAACTCTCTTAATCTGGCCGTTTGAAAAAACTCTTTTTTATATGAGCCAATTTTTTAATTGTTTCTAACGTAAACCTAACGCCCTCACGCATGCACGTAACCTTCTCACTCCCTTACGTCTCAAATTATCAAACTATTGAAATGCACACCTTTCAACACGTAGTCAACCCACCTTACTAAATCTTACTCGCTCAAGCATTTTTAACGATCGATTTTCTTACTATTCTGATGGTCTGCCTTAGATCCACGATCCTATATAAGGGCTTATATGTGGTGGTGGTACTCAGCAGGGTGCAATGTATTCCCCTTTATGTTAATCTGCGGCGTTTGAGTAAACCCCAAAATCTTCTATTGGGCTTCCCTACTACAAATATCGCGGGGAAGGAGGCGCAAATATTCATGGACTAATTGACATGGATATGAGTGTTTTTGAGGCAGAATACTCATGCGCGAAACTTCACCGAATATTTCGTAGGCGAATATTTCGAGGGCGAGTATTCGCAGGGTAAGTCTTTAAGGACAAGTTTAGCGGGGTGAGCTTTGTCATCCCACAGAAATAAGGGTACATTAGAAATAACACGTTGTGATTAATTTCAGCGGATATACTTTCCTGAATAGAGGTTTTTTTGGTGAAAAGGTACGCCTGCGGTGTCGAATTTTTCATGGACGAATATTCCCGGGAAATTTTACATAGGGACGAGCTATGTTACAGAAGTAAAAGGGTAAAGTTGACACATTGCAATTTTAAAGAAGAGTGTCTTTAAGGTACCGATTTCATGAGGTCTAGCCCTAGCCTTTATGAACGTAGGTTTTGGTTGATGCGAGAAGGTTATCCCGCTGGCAGATTTTTCTGGATGCGAATATTCCGAGGACCAATCATCGTGGAACGAGTTTTCGAGAGCGGATTTATTGGAGCGAGCTTTCCCACAGAAATATAAGTGAACATTAAAATTGAGTGCGCGTAATTTCAGTGAAGAGGTTTCTTCGTGGTCAGGTATTCTGAAGGGATCTCCCGAAGGTGAATCCTCCAAAAGAAAATATTTCGAAGCCAACCTTCTGCAAAGGAATTATCCAGGGACAAATATTTGGAAAAAATTTAACGCGGAAACAAGTTTTGTCCCAGAAATAGAAGGAAATTTGAAATTTGACACACTGCGCTTTCGTGAACGTTAGTTTTCCTCAAAGATAATCCTTGATAAGCAAGTATTCCGGTGGTTTTATTTTTGCTGACCCACGAGTATTTTTGGAACAAATTTTCCGAAGGCCCATATTCCGAGAAGAAATTTTCAAGAGTGTATTTGCATGGATTTAAGGTTTAAGCTTTCCTGAACGTGAAGCTAATCCCTTGTGAGAAAGTCGGGGATTGGCCTTTAGGGTACGAACATTGCGGGGGCGAGATTTCAGGGCAAATTTATATAAGGGGTAGTTTTCTTGAAGACGATTATTCAATACCACATCTTCAGGTCACTCATTTGCACAAGCTGAATATCTCATAGCACGCATTGTCCACTGTGCGTACATTTTGTTTCATTTTACGTACGTATGTCTGTGGGACAAATATGTACGTCTGATGTACGTACATTTGTGTACGATCACAAACTATAATTCTATAACGTAGAAAGTACGTACATGGTACACCGGATATTTCGGTCAACTGGTAATTTTGCACGTGATCATGACATCTGCACGCGCTTTTCTCTTTCAGGTACCAAGACCGGCTTTGCTTACTTTTCTAATTTCTGTAGCTGGATGGTACGCGTGAGTCATTACTCAGTAGTATAAATATGGTGGTAGTATAACATTGTATGCCCTACCATGTAAGTGCAATGTACGTACATCATCCGTAAGGGTGCGTGAAATGTACGTCCGTAAATCCAGCGCTATACGTACTATGTATTTGCAATGTACGTACTTGTGCTATTTGCGATTCTGGGCCAGGGGGTGGGTTTTTTCACAGCGAATCTTCCAACGGTGATTTTTCCATGACAAATTAACCCCACACGATGTCGAACACTTAAGTTTCGAAATGGATAGCGTAATGTAAACATGAGCTGTAACAGTTTCTAAAAGAAATGATTGGGTGAAGAGGCAGTCTGTGGTAGTGACGCCCTGGTCATAAAAATAATATTTAAGGCTTATTATGGCGATTTTCTCTGCTCTTTATATAGGGAGAATCGCGTGACACAGGTTTTCATCATCGAAACAAAACGCTTATCGTGCAGTGATATAGCTACTCGTGTTTCGTGTTGCAAAACCAACTCCCTAAATCCTCGATTAAGAGGTCACTCCTTCGTATAATTACTCCAAAGTAGTAAAAACGCTCATTATTCTGTAGAATATCAATCTCGTTCCCTCTTTTTTTCAGACCATCATGTATGAAAATTAAATTTGGCAAGAGCTAACCCCCGAATTCAAATTACAGTACATAAACGTTAGTTCTTCATGAATCCCTAAAGTGAAATTAATCACGAGCTCGACGTGCGAAATATTTGAAATAATACAAAGTTGGGTTCAGAATTAGGGGAAGCGTAAATTGTTTCCCTGACATTTCAACAAGAGAGAATCCCTCATACAAAAACAGGCCTTTCTTATCAAAAATCGGTTACTGCGAAAATATAAATTACAGCAATCATAGGGTAACATGCATTTCATGAAATGCGAGAGGTAGATTATTTACATTTTAATCGCTACGCTTTTAAATTAAGTTTGCACGTTCGAGGAAATTCTCGAATGCAACAGTGACGTCCAAGTTTAGTCTATCTGAAACGTCACACTAGAAACGAGAAGTACGCTGTTGGACTTAACCAAGGTAAATGGAGAATATGTATTTTGAGGTCGCAATTTAATGAAAATTGCATTTCCACTTGCATGTTAAAGCTGTAGAAAAGCACTCACTACAACTTTAAATACGACAAAAGCACATGGACTTTGTTGATGCCACTTCGTTAGAGGGACAATTCTATTCACTAACTTTAATTTCACTAGTTTTACTCTCTTCTCTTCGGCAATGATTCTTTTTTCATCTGATTGTATGGTTGGTATTCCTATACTGTATTAAAAACCCATGGGTGATGAAGACATCCAAGTTTTGCTTTGTTCCCATCCCTAACTACCAACTACCAATTTGCGTTGGTTTAGTAACAATGCAGGTATTCTAGTGATAAACGATTCTGGATAACAAAAAAAAAGTTGAGGGTTGGAAAATGCGTACCTGTTCCAATTACACATGGGGTGCTATCGATCGAAGACAAAAGAGTCCTAAACAATTTGATAAGGCTTGAAGGTCTAAATTTTGTAACCACAATGGATGGATGGTGGCAATTTTGAGTTTCTCCATATTTCAGGTTCTAAATAAGCTCTAAATTTCTAGCGTGACGTTTCAAATCTAAAGATTAAAATAACTGCGTATCTTGAATTGAGAATTAGCAATGAACGCAAAAACAGATCATATCATGTGTGAAGCTCCTGTGTTGGTCCAAACGGTCAGTACCTCGGACTAGTATAAAGCTTACCCTAGCAGCGATTGAGGTGGTGGGTTTCTCGAGCATATCCCAAAGCCACTTTTGATATTGCGAACATTTATCATCGCCAAATTCCTCTTCGTCCCTTTGCCTTAGGGATTCGGCCTCCTTGCGCATTTCTTCGTGGACGTGCTCCTTTCTCTGATGATACTTGTGTTGGCAGCACGATTCCAAGTATAATTCGTCTACACCCCAGTACTCTAAATCATCACTAAACGCTAGCACACACATTTCGTCAACTAAATGTAGCTTTCCTGTCCGATAAAAATTGAGGATGGAGCTAAAAGATTTCGGATGGCGATCAAAAAAGTATTCGTTGTCAACTAGAGAGTAATCGTCGCATAGTTCGATGATAGCTTCGTGCGTGTTACAATCTCTTAAACGACCAAGACGAGTATGGGGTAGTCGGTCGAGGGTACGCCAAAGGACTTCGTGCTTAACGCCGCCGACATTAATAACGACACGCCTGTTGAGTGCTTTCGAACGCATAATCATGAAGGGCTCGGGAGGCAATGAAGACATGGATCGCGAGTAGGGCCTCCTCTGCTGTAGCGGCAGCGGAGGTGGCAACGGTGGTGGCTGAGGCGGAGACGCCTGCGAGAAAGACGAGTAGCGCACTTCCCTGACGCTGCCCGAATCGATCGATGGGGGCTCCCACCGCGTGCCCAGTTCATCGCCGTCCCGATCGCCCACCATCGACGATAAGTGGCCGGGATCTGTTGTACTAAAGCTTTTCTCCCTTTGAAGCGTTCCTCATCCGCCTCCTCCTTCACTATCCTTTTTATTTTTCATATTGTCCTGGAAACAAACCAGACAATTAATTCATTTCTACAGAGAGCGAAAACATATAATTTCAATTAACACTTTTCCCTTAGACGAATATAATAAGGCCTCACTAAACTTGCCAGGCGCTAACAAATTGGAGTTCCTTGTACGGATTCCTTTTTATATAACATCGTACATATTTTGAAATAAATTGAAATTCTGAAAAAAATTTCTTCTATCCTTCGTTAATTATTAACAGAAGTACAAAGCATTGGAAACATCACTGTACATTAAGGCCTCCAATAAACAAAAAAAAGTGTAGGAAATTATCAATAAATTCGAGGATCTGCAATCACCATTTTGTACTTAATTTACAATTCCTTTTATATCATTTTTGTGTTTATTGTATTCTACTAATCTCAAAACTAGCTACGAGATACCGCAAGGTTCAGTGTTATGCCCTCTTCTATTCATTAGTACGCTGGCAACACGCAGATATACCTACTATCATTTTAAAAGATCCAGGAAAAGTATGGAGTACTGCTTGGTGGTTTAAATCAACAGGTTAAAATAGACATGGACTACCGGTGGGTAAAGTGAACTATATGCTGATTGGTCAGCCACAATCGAGTGGGTTGGTACCACTTTAGAAGTGTCTTCGCACCAATCCCTATTTCTTACCAACCACCAATACAGAAAGAGGTGAGAGTGCTTGAATATCAACATGCTTCTATTAACATGTAGTCCATGAAAGGAGACTATGGACAACGGAATCACCCACGTTGAAGGAGTTCGTTTCACTCTCATCGGCTACAAGAAAACTTATGACAAGAAGGTTCCAAAGAAAAGAGAATGTCCTCGTAGTTGCTGATATTAGTCAGGATAGAGATCAAGAAGTGAATCCCGGAAAAGGAACACAGGCTGGGCGTGTGTAAGAAGTTTGCAGCGCTTGCAGTGGATGAGGATTGGCGCTTGGTTAAATCAAAGAATCTGTGTTCCCATTGACTTGGGAAAAATCATAGACTGAATGTGGGTTCTTTTAAGATCTAAGGGTTGATGCAGAAGTAAGCATCACACACTCCTTCATGTGGACAAACCAAAAGATGATCCTGAACACGTTGGAAAGCTTGTTCGAAGGGTGAGCACTAAAGTTAAACTAAAGTCAAGTGCCGGTCAAGGTGCGGAGACCTAATGGCCATGCTGGATGATGAGATTCAATACATTTTTCGTGGTCCACATTCGTTGGACGGAAAGGAACCACAACCCGGGTGGGCTGGGAAGTGGACGGAGAGGTAAAAGATGAGTTCTTTCATCTCGAAGAAGTGAATCCTGATGGACAAAATAAGTATCATCTAATTATTAAGGATTCTCAGATCCTTTATAGTTTTGTATTGTCGTCCGTCCGTCCGTCCGTCAGTCCGTCCGTCCGTCCGTGTGGGCTCTAACTCTTTTTAAAAGTGGCCGATTGTGTTGAAATGTGGTGTACGGATTTTGATTTGATTTTGATGCATTTTTAAAAGTTAAAAGGATCCTTCGATATTTCGTTGTATCGGTTTATTCCAAGAGAATGTATTCAGCCTCCAATACAGAACACTCCGTGGGTATCAAGGTATAAGTTAGGATGAACATTTCATGGTCCAAACCCTAGAGAGGCAAGCACAAATGAGATTTCCTTGAGGGATGATGCGAGAGTTCATGATGCATTTGCAGTGAGTGTCAAGGATGACCGGCCGCGGTCAAAGGAATAAGAAGCGTGGGGAGCAGATCATGGAGGGGAGCTGACGTGGTACGTTGAGAAACAGGTTTGCTCTGGCGCGATGAAGGCGTTTATCTTCGTGTAGGCAGCTTTGAAACGTCTCAATCTTCTGGAGAAAAGGTTCGCGTTTACTAAGCTCTACCGAGACAAGATGACTCACAATGAACAAATAGGATATGTTCAAAAACTTGATAGAGACAAACTCAAAGTTGATTCGAGCAAGGTATGGTATTTGCCCCACTTTAGAGTCTTCAATCCCACAAAAATCAAATAAAATCATGGATGCGGCCTCAAAGAACCATGGAGTGATCCTTCACGACCATCTTCTCACAGGTCCTGATTTGTTGGAGTTTCTTCCAGAGAGTTTGATGAGGTTCAGGGAGAGAAGAGTTGCTTTCACGGCTGATATCAAAGAAATGTTCGACCAAAACCTCATTCGAGACGAATACAGAGATGCGAAAGGATTCTTCTAGAGAAAAGACAAACCGCAGCCTTTTGAGGAGTGGCAGATGAAGGTTTTATCGGAGAATCTGAATCTGTTATCAGAATTTCCACGCTAGATTAATAGAAGCTACACGCTACTACTTTCTTTCTTCTTATGGGCGACACACTGGAGGCCTAGAGGTTCTGGAGCACCCAAAGTGGTTGATACGATGGAGAGGGGCTCCTTAACTCGGTTTCCAGAATCCCTCTGGAATACGCAGAGTGCCATATTGTGGAATGCGACGACCAGTGGACCTTGGATTGGTTGGAGAGGACTTTCCCTGTTTTCAGGAACCAGCTTATAGAGGACGTTCTTCCGCAGAGAGGAGCCCGGTAGGATCCTCTTCGCGCGTTTAGTGTAAATGAGGCATCTTATCGGGCACTTCAGCGGCAGAACTTCCAACCGCACGCAGAGGTCTCACTTTTGTGACCAAAGCGAGTGCTCCGACTGCGCCAGGTAAGGGAGAGCCATAACAACGTTATATGGGGACAGCTGTAAACTGTCGACGTTTTTAAGAACAAATAGAACACCTTGGTGGAACTCACACCTTGAAAAAGCACGTAAGGAAGTTATTTAATAGCTATTTAATAAGACCATGCGAACTAAGCTGCCTGCGGATTGAGACAATCTTAAAATCACTCAGCGCAGGTATAAGGACCATTTTCGAAGGTTTAAACGAGGATCATGGAGGGCCTTCTGGAGGGCCTTCCTGGAGTTCAAAAATTTTGTAAGCTTCTTTTGAAAAACCCTGGGCGAAACGTGGGGACACTGATGCTTCCATGCGGCATATATATGTCTACCACAAGTGAGGTTCTCACAAGTCTCCTGGAAACACACTTTCCATGCTTTTTAAAAAATGTGGTTAGGTCCGATAACTTTTTTGCTTGACCCCGTGTACTTATTTTGAAAACGGTAGGTTGTGAAACAATCAAATTGTAATAAACACATTTTTATTTAAAAAAACCAATTACATTATAAGCTTTTATCTAAAAATCGAAAAATGCAACTTTTGCCCACAACTCAAGAATGAAAGACTGTATGTCAGTTTGGTTTTCAACATCTTAAAAAAATACACCTTTCGATCTGTGAGGTCATTTTTTTTCTATTAGGTACTTATAGTTTAAGTGTTACTCCCTACTAACAACCGAATTTGGCTACCCTGTACAAAGAAAGTAATTCATACACAAACGTGAAATTGTCCAATTTTAGAGAGCAAGCTGTATTGCGTCATATTAAGCAATTTTCAAAAGCGGGCAACGTGGGTTCCAAGAGCGTGCTCAGTCCGCTCTTGCCCCCCTCTGGCTACGGCCCTGGGGGATTGGCTTAGAAAACTCATATTGATGGTAATGTAGAATAGATATTGTATTTGTCTGGCCGTAAAAAATAGGATGCTTGCCCTCCGACTGAATCCTTGCAATTTTTTAGGGAACTCGCTTAACTCATCTTTAATTTTATTCTTTTTTTTTATACCTGCATCACAATCTCCGTTTTAAACACTAAAATGCGTGCGAAAAAAAGCCTTTAAAACACACGTGCTAAAGTAGGTATGATTTGTGCAACTGTCATCTGGGTGAAATAAAAAATCCTCTTAGGTCGCTTTCTATAAATGCAGAACATTTCTTTGGCTTGGACCTATCCTTTGGTTGAAGCTTTCACAAACGCGCATAATTTAGGGTATGCTTCCAAATCTGTTCCACTTTTTAATCGCAGCATTGTTTGAAGTTTTGAATGAATGCATCAAAAGATTTAAATACCTTTGACATTTCCTTCCTATATCCCAGTATTATCGATGCATTTAAGACTTTATTCGTAAGTAACTTCCTATTCATACATGGAAACAACTTTTCATATTTTTTATAATAGGCTTTACTGGATTTGGATTTTACACCTACCAACGTTTGTTTAGATTTTACAACAAGCGATTTAATGGACGGTGTATTATCTTTTTCAACGGAACTCGTTACAAAGACGATGATCTTTATAAGCAAACATCAAGTGACATTTCCCACTTAATTTGACATGTATTCGAGTATAACGTCAATGTGATTTCATTGTATTTCCTATGTTTAAATTATACTGCAGGTATAATAAAAATACTATAAGATACACGTGTTGACCTGTATAATTGGTCTTTAAAGCACTGGCAACGTTAAAGGCATTCCGCTTCGCGTCGTGCCATTAAACTCGTTGCGCGTGCTTTAAAGACTTGATTATACACTTGTATCTTAATATACTATTATTATACCTAAATCAGAATCGCTGTTTAAAATAAGCCTGAGCGTGCTTAAAAAAACGATTAAAACACGCCGAGCTTTAAAGGTTGCTAAGTAATGTTACTTCAAATATTACATACAGTGCTATTTATTAAGAAGTAAGTAGACATATATGTGTCAATATGATTTCATTTTATTTCCCTTATTTTTAAATTATATTGCAGTTATTTATTATACAAGACGATAAAGGGATATTATAAGTTTCCATTTCTCGTCGTGTATAATACAAAACTTTATTTTATAGCAGAAGCCATTGTAAAGTTTCAGACAATTCTGAATTTAATTTACAGACGTCAAAAATAGTAGGCTTAGGTTCTGCCATCGCGATTGTTGCTATAGAAACAGAATTGCCATGTGTTCTGGACGCCACTTTATATCGTGCATTTGAAATAAGAATGACAGATGTCATTAGAATGCACACTCATCCGTTTCACTTTATCTACCCTTAGGGTTAAAGTGATCACTTTATCTAACCTTACGGTTAAAGAACGGCTTAGCCTACTTATTCAAACCTAAAATG